CCCTTCCCCCAACACACCCCTCCCCCAACACACCCCTCCCCCAATTCATTAAGAAAGAAATTTGTCAGCTTTCCCTGCCTTTTACTGGCTGTTGATCTCGTTACAGGTGGACATCAAGAGTTGCTGTGTGTTCGTAAACAAGACATCGATGACAGTTCCAGAGCCAAGTGTTTATATCCCACAGAACTTCCTGTCTGCTCTCCAGCAGGGCGTGGTCCCAGGAACGGTGGTCATCTGTCTCCCCCACCTACATGTGGTCAGTTCAGGGGTCAAACAGGTGCACCCCTTACAGGAAATCCCAATAACCTCCATGGACGGATCTCTTGTTGGTGAGTAACAGTTGTCTCCCTTTGTGATATCAACAGAAAGGGTACGGCAAGTGTTTGGTGTTTGATTTAATGAATGATGGTAATGTTTAGATGGATTTCATTTTAAAATGAAAGATTGCACTCAGTTTGAGGTTGATAATGGCAGCTTACCAATCAGGTATCAGCTTACCTATCAGGTTAGGGTTAGGGTTACCTATCAGGTATCAGCTTACCTACCAGGTTAGGGTTAAGGTTACCTATCATGTATCAGCTTACCTATCAGGTTAGAGTTAAGGTTACCTATCAGGTATCAGCTTACCTATCAGGTTAGGGTTAGGGCTACCTATCAGGTTAGGGTTACCTATCAGGTTAGGGTTAGGGTGACCGATCAGGTATCAACTTATACAGGTTAGGGATAGGGTTACCTGTCCAGTGACGGCTAATACAGGTTAGGGTAAGGGTTACCTATCAGGTTAGGGTAAGGATTACCTATCAGGTATCAGCTAATACAGGTTAGGGTAACGGTTACCTATCAGGTATCAGCTAATACAGGTTAGGGTAAGGGTTACCTATCAGGTATCAGCTAATACAGGTTAGGGTTCGGGTTACCTATCAGGTATCAGCTAACCTATCAGGTTAGGGGTAAGGTTACCTATCATGTATCAGCTGACCTATCAGGTTAGGGTTCGGGTTGCCTATCAGGTATCAGCTAACCTATCAGGTTAGGGTTAAGGTTCCCTATCATGTATCAGCTTTCCTATCAGGTTAGGGTTAAGGTTACCTATCAGGTTAGGGTTAAGCTAACCTATCAGGTTAGGGTTAAGGTTCCCTATCAGGTATCAGCTTACCTATCAGGTATCAGCTTACCTAACAGGTTAGGGTTAAGGTTACCTATCAGGTTAGGGTTAGGCTTACCTATCAGGGTAGGGTTAAGGTTACCTATCATGTATCATCTTACCTATCAGGTTAGGGTTTGGGTTCCCTACCAGGTATCAGCTTACCTATCGGGTATATGTATCAGCTTACCTATCGGGTATATGTATCAGCTTACCTATCGGGTATATGTATCAGCTTACCTATCGGGTATCAGCTTCCCTATCAGGTTAGGGTTAAGGTTACCTATCATGTATCAGCTTACCTAACAGGTTAGGGTTAAGGTTACCTATCAGGTTAGGGTTAAGCTAACCTATCAGGTTAGGGTTAAGGTTCCCTATCATGTATCAGCTTTCCTATCAGGTTAGGGTTACCTATCAGGGATCAGCTCTCCTATCAGGTTAAGGTTAGGGTTACCTATCATGGTAGGGTTAGGGTGACCGATCAGGGATCAATTTATACAGGTTAGGGATAGGGTTGCCTATCCGGTGACGGCTAATACAGGTTAGGGCAAGGGTTACCTATCAGGTTAGGGTAAGGCTTACCTATCAGGTATCAGCTAATACAGGTTAGGGTTCGGGTTACCTATCAGGTATCAGCTAACCTATCAGGTTAGGGTTAAGGTTCCCTATCAGGTATCAGCTTACCTATCAGGTTAGGGTTTGGGTTACCTACCAGGTATCAGCTTACCTATCGGGTATATGTATCAGCTTACCTATCGGGTATATGTATCAGCTTACCTATCGGGTATCAGCTTCCCTATCAGGTTAGGGTTAAGGTTACCTATCAGGTTAGGGTTAAGCTAACCTATCAGGTTAGGGTTAAGGTTCCCTATCATGTATCAGCTTTCCTATCAGGTTAGGGTTAAGGTTACCTATCATGTATCAGCTTCCCTATCAGGTTAGGGTTAAGGTTACCTATCATGTATCAGCTTCCCTATCAGGTTAGGGTTAAGGTTACCTATCATGTATCAGCTGACCTATCAGGTTAGGGTTCGGGTTGCCTATCAGGTATCAGCTAACCTATCAGGGTAGGGTTAAGGTTACCTATCATGTATCATCTTACCTATCAGGTTAGGGTTTGGGTTCCCTACCAGGTATCAGCTTACCTATCGGGTATATGTATCAGCTTACCTATCGGGTATCAGTTTAGGGTTAAGGTTACCTATCAGGTTAGGGTTAAGCTATCCTATCAGGTTAGGGTTAAGGTTACCTATCATGTATCAGCTGACCTATCAGGTTAGGGGTCGGGTTACCTATCAGGTATCAGCTAACCTATCAGGTTAGGGTTAAGGTTCCCTATCAGGTATCAGCTTACCTATCAGGTTAGGATTAGGGGTACCTATCAGGTATCAGCTTACCTATCAGGTATCAGCTTACCTATCAGGTTAGGGTTTGGGTTACCTACCAGGTATCAGCTTACCTATCGGGTATATGTATCAGCTTACCTATCGGGTATCAGCTTCCCTATGGTTACCTATCAGGTATCAGCTTACCTATCAGGGTAGGGTTAAGGTTACCTATCAGGTATCAGCTGACCTATCAGGTTAGGGTTAAGGTTACCTATCAGGTTAGGGTTAAGCTAACCTATCAGGTTAGGGTTAAGGTTACCTATCAGGTATCAGCTGACCTATCAGGTTAGGGTTAAGGTTACCTATCAGGTTAGGGTTAAGGTTACCTATCCTGTATCAGCTGACCTATCAGGTTAGGGTTAGGGTTACCTATCAGGTATCAGCTAATACAGGTTAGAGTAAGGATTACCTATCAGGTATCAGCTAATACAGGTTAGGGTTCGGGTTACCTATCAGGTATCAGCTAACCTATCAGGTTAGGGGTAAGGTTACCTATCATGTATCAGCTGACCTATCAGGATAGGGATCGGGTTACCTATCAGGTATCAGCTCACCTATCAGGTTAGGGTTAAGGTTACCTATCAGGTTAGGGTTAAGGTTACCTATCATGTTAGGGTTAAGGTTACCTATCAGGTATATGCTTACCTATCAGGTTAGGGTTAAGGTTACCTATCAGGTATGAGCTTACCTATCAGGTTAGGGTTAAGGTTACCTATCAGGTTAGGGATAAGGTTACCTATCATGTTAGGGTTAAGGTTACCTATCAGGTATATTCTTACCTATCAGGTTAGGGTTAAGGTTACCTATCATGTATCAGCTTACCTATCAGGTTAGGGTTCGGGTTACCTATCAGGTATCAGCTTACCTATCAGGTTAGGGTTTAGGTTACCTATCAGGTATCAGCTTACCTATCAGGTATCAGCTTACCTATCAGGTTAGGGTTAAGGTTACCTATCAGGTATCAGCTTACCTATCAGGTTAGGGTTAAGGTTACCTATCAGGTATCAGCTTTCCTATCAGGGTAGGGTTAGGGTTACCTATCAGGTATCGGTATCAGCTTAACTATCAGGTATATGTATCAGCTTACCTATCGTGTATACGTATCAGCTTACCTATCAGGTATCAGCTTACCTATCAGGTATAGGTATCAGCTTACCTATCGGGTATACATATCAGCTTACCTATCAGGTATCAGCATACCTATCAGGTATATGTATCGGCTTACCTATCGGGTATACGTATCAGCTTACCTATCGGGTATCAGCTTACCTTTCAGGTTAGGGTTAAGGTTACCTATCATGTATCAGCTGACCTATCAGGGTAGGGTTCGGGTTACCTATCAGGTATCAGCTTACCTATCAGGGTAGGGTTCGGGTTACCTATCAGGTATCAGCTTACCTATCAGGTTAGGGTTAAGGTAAGGGTTACCTATTAGGTTAGGGTAAGGGTTACCTATCAGGTATCTGCTTAATTACCTCTTAGGTATCAGCTTACCTATCAGGTATCAGCTTACCTATCAGGTTAGGGTTAAGGTTACCTATCAGGTTAGGGTTAAGCTAACCTATCAGGTTAGGGTTAAGGTTACCTATCAGGGTAGGGTTAGGGTTACCTATCATGTATCAGCTTACCTATCAGGTTAGGGTTAAGGTTACCTATCAGGTTAGGGTTAATGTTACCTATCAGGTATCAGCTTACCTTTCAGGTTAGGGTTAAGGTTACCTATGAGGTATCACCTTACCTATCATGTATCAGCTTTCCTATCAGGTTAGGGTTAAGGTAAGGGTTACCTATTAGGTTAGGGTAAGGGTTACCTATCAGGTATCTGCTTAATTCCCTCTTAGGTATCAGCTTACCTATCAGGGTAGTGTTAAGGTTACCTATCAGGGTAGGGGTAGGGTTACCTATCATGTATCAGCTTACCCATCAGGTTAGGGTTAAGGTTACCTATGAGGTATCAACTGACCTATCATGTATCAGCTTACCCATCAGGTTAGGGTTAAGGTTACCTATGAGGTATCAACTGACCTATCATGTATCAGCTTACATATCAGGTTAGGGTTAAGGTTACCGATCAGGTTAGGGTTAAGCTAACCTATCAGGTGAGGGTTAAGGTTACCTATCAGGGATCAGCTTACCTATCAGGTATCAGCTTACCTTTCAGGTTAGGGTTAAGGTTTCCTATCATGTATCAGCTGACCTATCAGGGTAGGGGTCGGGTTACCTATCAGGGATCAGCTTACCTATCAGGTATAGGTATCAGCTTACCTATCAGGATAGGGTTAAGGTTACCTATCAAGGTAGGGTTAGGGTTACCTATCAGGTATCAGCTAACCTATCAGGTTAGGGTTAAGGTTACCTATGAGGTATCAACTTACCTATCATGTATCAGCTTACCTATCAGGTTAAGGTTAAGGTTACCTATCATGTATCAGCTTACCTATCAGGTTAGGGTTAAGCTAACCTATCAGGTATCAGCTTTCCTATCAGGTTAGGGTTCGGGTTACCTATTAGGTATCAACTTACCTATCAGGTATCAGCATATCTATCAGGGTAGGGTTAGGGTTACCTATCAGGTATCAGCTTACCTATCAGGGTAGGGTTAAGGTTACCTATCAGGTATCAGCTTACCTATCAGGTATCAGCTTACCTTTCAGGTTAGGGTTAAGGTTACCTAACCTGATAGGAAAGCTGATACCTGATAGGTTAGCTTAACCCTAACCTGATAGGTAAGCTCATACCTGATAGGTAACCTGAACCCTAACCTGAAAGGTAAGCTGATACCTGATAGGTAAGCTGAGACCTGATAGGTAACCTTAACCCTAATCTGATAGGTAAGCTGATACCTGATAGGAAACCTTAACCCTAACCTGATAGGTTAGCTGATACCTGATAGGTAACCCTAAACCTACCATGATAGATATGCTGATACCTGATAGGTATCAGCATATCTATCAGGGTAGAGGTAGGGTTACCTATCAGGTATCAGCTTACCTATCAGGTTAGGGCTAGGGTTAGGATTAGAGTTGGGGTTACCTATCTGGTTAGGGTTGGGGTTAGGGTTGGGGTTACCTATCAGGTTAGCTTGTGGTCAAGTGTAGTGTCCTTTCTGGAATGTTTTACTTTCATTTCTTTTTAAAAAGCATCCATGATAACACATTGCCAAATTACTTTTTGAAAATCATTAAAGATACCTTTACATGATGTTGTCAGTTTGGTAGCAATAGTAAGTATACCCTACAGAGTCTAGGGGTTTGGGTGGTAGGCTGGAAACAGCTTGTCCATCTGTCTGTCCATCTGCCTAGTTTTCATGTCTAGATAATTCTTTTACTTTGCTTATTTCAATAAAACTTTTATAATTCATGCAGTACATCATGTAGTTTTAACTTAACCCCTCACAGTTTTGCCCTTTTCTGTACTTGGTAATTTCAAGCCGTGTCTGGACAAATTCTCCAAAACAATTAGACCAATTACAATGTTACTTCAAAATTTCAAGATTCAAGATGGCCACCTTGGTCTCTGATTGTCCGAGTCAATGCAGTTAAAACTCAAAATGTATGCTTCCAACTTTATTGATACTTTCTGGGAATGTTATTCATATAAATAAATATATTTATTCAATTTGGCTATTTGTTATGTTACACTGCAGTGAACTGTTAAATTTGGTGATTCAAGATGGCCACTTTGACCTGATTGGCTGAGACATTTCATTTTAACTAAGTTCTTTTGGACCAGCTTGGCTGATACTTTGTGGAAGTCAGACATAGAAAGTATAACTTATGTGAAATGGTCAGCTTTTAATTTCAGGGTTTCAAGATGGCCAACATGGCTTTGAGTTTTATTGGGGTGATTTTGTTGAATATATATTTTTTGGATTCAATGTGCTTGCTTTGACCTCTGATTGGATATTACAGCCTGAAAGTTGAGTTCTATTGGACCTATTTTTTTCATAAAGTTCATCTTTGTCCAATCCAGTCATCACTAATGTGGCTGTCTCACTTTATATACAGCCAGTAGTTTAGAGGACAAAATAGCTGCTGTACAAACTGTTCCAGTTTCCCCACAGGGCCATGACTGTCTTGTGGTTAACAGGACAAATGTTTAAGAAGCTTGACTTACAACACCCCTGTGGTGTAGGAGGTATCACTTTTATTTAGCCTTTTTGTCTTTATATAAAACATATATTTATATAAAACATACATTTTTATTCCAATCACTTTCCATCCGTCGTCGTGCGTAAACTTTTTACATTTGAACTTCTTCTCAAGAACCAATGGATGGATTTTTTTCAAACTTAGTCAGAATCATCCTTGGAAAATGAGGCTACAACAGTGTAAATTTAGGGTATAGAATCTTTATATTTCTTCCTGAGATAGAGCCAGACAAATTTGAGAATGAAAATGACCTTGACATACTTTCAAGGTCACAGCTGTCAAATATGTAAAAACTCTTTAAACGACTTCTTCTGAAGAACTAAAAGGTATAGAATCTTTATGTTTGGCTGTTGGCTTCCTGAGATAGATCCCGACAAAGTTTGAGAATGAAAATGACCTTGACATACTTTCAAGTTCACAGCGGTCAAATATGTAAAAACTCTTTATACGACGACCTCTGAAGAACTAAAAGGTATAGAATCTTTATGTTTGGCTGTTGGCTTCCTGAGATAGATCCTGACAAAGTTTGAGAATGAAAATGACCTTGACCTACTTTCTAGGTCACAGCTGTCAAATATGTCAAAAACATCAAACGGCTTCTTCTGAATAATCGAAAGCATAAAATATAATATTTGGCTGGTGGCTTCCTAGGATAGAGCTCACCAAAGTTTGCGAATGAAAATGACCTCAACCTACCTTAAAGGACAGAGATCAACAGCACTTTAAAGGATTTGTTCTTAAGAACCAAATGGAATGGATTCATAAGACTTGGCTGGGATAGAGCTAATAAAGTATGAGAAGGAAAATGACATTGACCTACTTAAAAGGTCACAGAGAAAAATATGTCAATTAACTTCTGAAGAAGAACCAAAAAGCATAGAATCTTTTAATAATATTTGGCTGGTAGTTTCAACAGATGGAGTCGACATAGTTTGCGAGGGAAATATTTGTAGTGCAATATAATATTGAATGAAAATATTTTGCTATGACTGCTTAAATATTCAGGTGAGCGATATAGGCCCTCTGGGCCTCTTGTTAATTGTCATGTTATAAGCCATTCATACTCACAGCTTTATGTCAGACAATATGTGTTGGCCTCCTGGATTTATTATAGGTTTTTATGTATTCCATAAAAATTTGTGTATAAGATAGTACTTTTACCTTAATGATGTCCATATGATTGCCAGGTGAGAAGTTGCCATGGATAATGAGCTTGAAGAACTTCAGCATATACACCCTACTGTCCAGAACAGCAGTCTTCTCCATCCTCAAACCGGTGTCGGTCAACTGTACAGTGGCAGTCAGTACCAAGTATTCTCCACCCACCTCAGATGTCATCTCGGCTCTCGGACTTTGTCTCCACACTGACATGAGGAGTGTTACACTGGCATGCTCTAAACAACAGGTAACTCTTTAAATGTTTTGACATGGAGTATTCTCCCCTCTATATAGACATCCGGCGCCATCTTCTTCTCAATAACCAAAAGGCCTATGATGATGATGTTTGGCCAGAAGCAAACTGGGATGAAGGGCTACCAAGTTTGTTAAAATAAATGACCTTCACCTATTTTCAAGGTCACAGGGGTCAAATATGTTAAAAACCTTTAAACAACTTCTTCTCAATAACCGAAAACCTTAGGATGATGCTATTCGGCCAGTAGCAAGCTGTGATGAAGGGCTACCAAGTTTGTTCAAATGAATTACCTTGACCAATTTTGAAGGTCAAAGGGGTCAAATGTCTTAAAATCTTCAAACCACTTCTTCTTAATAACCTAAAGTCCCAGGGTACTGATATTAGGCCGGTAGCATGCTGGGATGAATGACTTTGACCAACTTTCATGGTCACTTGGGTCAGATGTCTTTAAATCTTCAAACGACTTCTTTTCAATAACCAAAAGGCCAAGGGTACTGATATTGGGCCTGTAGTATGCTGGGATGAAGGGCTACCAAGTTTGTTCAAATGAATGACCTTGACCCACTTTCAACCTAATGTCCTTGTTCGACATTCAAAGACACATGCTTCATGTTTAAATCTTTTAATAGGTTCTTGTGAATCAAACACAGATATTCTGCCTGTAGCTGTATTTTAGTCCACTTTTAAGATTACAAGTGTGAGATTAATACCAGGTGAGCGATGCAGGCCCATTTGGCCTCTTGTTCATATGCTTTGTAGCTCACATTTTGATGTTGTGGTGCTTGTATAATCCCTGTAGGGCAACATTGGAAGGCTTTGTAATGTAAAGGTTTTGTGTTGGACCCATGCAAGTTTTTTTTCTCTCTCTTCAAACATCGACAAAACAACTACAGTTCTGTCAAATGCATGCCAAAATCAGATTGCTATGAAATATAACTTTGAAAAAGTGACATTTGTGGTAATATAGTTTAACTTGTTGGTATCCTTAACCTAATTGAGTGTAACCAAGTATGAGTCCACTAAAGAATGATAATACATTTTCGTCAAAAGAGTCTGATATCAAACTAGGATCAAAGGATTGCACCACTTTTTAGCTCACCTGGCCCAAAGGGCCAAGTGAGCTTATGGCTTGGTGCGGCGTTTGTCGTCCGTCGTCCGTCCGTCGTCAACTTTTCTTCTGAATAACCAAGAGGCCCAGGCTGATGATATTTGGCCAGTAGCATGCTTGAATAAAGGGCTACGAAGTTTGATCAAACAAATGACCTTCGCCCATTTAATGGTCACAGGGGGGTCAAATATGTTTAAACCTTTAAACAATTTCTTCTAAATAGCCAAGAGGTCTAGGGTATTGATATTTGGCCAGTAGCATGCTTGGATAAAGGGCTACGAAGTTTGTTCAAACAAATGACCTTCGCCCATATTTATGGTCACAGGGGTCAATTGTCTTAAAATCCATTAAACGACTTCTTCTGTATAACCGAAAGGTCCAGGGTGATGATATTTGGCCAGAAAGATGTTGGCATGAGGGGCTAACATGTATGTTCAAATGAATGACCTTTGTCCATATTTAAGGTCACAGGGGTCAATTGTCTTGAAAACCTTTAGACGACTGAATTACCTAAATGTCTAGGGTGATGATACTTGGCCAGTAGCATAATGGGATGAAGGGCTACCAAGTTCGTTCAAATGAATGACCTTCATCCATATTAAAGGTCACAGGGGTCAATTGTCTTGAAAACCTTTAGACGACTGAATGACCTAAATGTCTAGGGTGATGATACTTGGCCAGTAGCATAATGGGATGAAGGGCTACCAAGTTCGTCCAAATGAATGACCTTCATCCATATTAAAGGTCACAGGGGTCAATTGTCTTGAAAACCTTTAGACGACTGAATTACCTAAATGTCTAGGGTGATGATATTTGGCCAGTAGCATAATGGGATGAAGGGCTACCAAGTTCATTCAAATGAATGATCTTCATAGATATTAAAGGTCACAGAGGTCAATTGTCTTGAAAACCTTTAAACGACTTCTTCTGTATAACCAAAAGGTCCAGGGTGATGATATTTGGCCAGAAAGATGTTGGCATGAGGGGCTAACATGTATGTTCAAATGAATGACCTTTGTCCATATTTAAGGTCACAGGGGTCAATTGTCTTGAAAACCTTTAGACGACTTCTTCTGTATAACCAAAAGGTCCAGGTTGATGATATTTGGCCAAAAGGATGTAGGCATAAAGGGCTACAAAGTTTGTTCAAACAAATGACCTTCACTCATATTCAAGGTCACAGGGGTCAATTGTCTTAAAAACTTTTATACATCTTTTGTATAACCAAAAGGTCCAGGTTGATGATATTTGGCCAAAAGGATGTAGGCATAAAGGGCTACAAAGTTTGTTCAAACAAATGACCTTCACTCATATTCAAGGTCACAGGGGTCAATTGTCTTAAAAACTTTTATACATCTTTTGTATAACCAAAAGTTCCAGGGTGATGATATTTGGCCAGAAGGATGTTGGCATGTAGGGCTACCAAGTTTGTACAAATGAATGACCTTCACCCATATTCAAGGTCACAGGGGGGTCAAATATGTATAAACCTTTAAACAATTTCTTCTAAATAGCCAAGAGGTCTAGGGTGTTGATATTTGGCAAGTAGCATGCTTGGATAAAGGGCTACGAAGTTTGTTCAAACGAATGACCTTCGCCCATATTCATGGTCACACGTATGTTCAAATGAATGACCGTTGTCCATATTTAAGGTCACAGGGGTCAATTGTCTTGAAAACCTTTAGACGACTTCTTCTGTATAACCAAAAGGTCCAGGCTGATGATATTTCGCCAGTAGCATGCTTGGATAAATGGCTACAAAGTTTGTTCAAATGAATGACCTTCTCCCATATTCAAGGTCACAGGGGGGCCAAATATGTATAAACCTTTAAACAATTTCTTCTAAATAGCCAAGAGGTCTAGGGTATTGATATTTGGCCAGTAGCATGCTTGGATAAAGGGCTACGAAGTTTGTTCAAACGAATGACCTTCGCCCATATTCATGGTCACAGGGGTCAATTGTCTTAAAATCCTTTAAACGACTTCTTCTGTATAACCGAAAGGTCCAGGGTGATGATATTTGGCCAGAAAGATGTTGGCATGAGGGGCTAACATGTATGTTCAAATGAATGACCTTTGTCGATATTTAAGGACACAGGGGTCAATTGTCTTGAAAACCTTTAGACGACTGAATGACCTAAATGTCTAGGGTGATGATACTTGGCCAGTAGCATAATGGGATGAAGGGCTACAAAGTTCGTTCAAATGAATGACCTTCATCCATATTAAAGGTCACAGGGGTCAATTGTCTTGAAAACCTTTAGACGACTGAATTACCTAAATGTCTAGGGTGATGATACTTGGCCAGTAGCATAATGGGATGAAGGGCTACCAAGTTCGTTCAAATGAATGACCTTCACCCATATTAAAGGTCACAGGGGTCAATTGTCTTGAAAACCTTTAGACGACTTCTTCTGTATAACCAAAAGGTCCAGGTTGATGATATTTCGCCAGTAGCATGCTTGGATAAATGGCTACAAAGTTTGTTCAAATGAATGACCTTCACCCATATTCAAGGTCACAGGGGGGCCAAATATGTATAAACCTTTAAACAATTTCTTCTGAATAGCCAAGAGGTCTAGGGTGTTGATATTTGGCAAGTAGCATGCTTGGATAAAGGGCTACGAAGTTTGTTCAAACGAATGACCTTCGCCCATATTCATGGTCACACGTATGTTCAAATGAATGACCGTTGTCCATATTTAAGGTCACAGGGGTCAATTGTCTTGAAAACCTTTAGACGACTGAATTACCTAAATGTCTAGGGTGATGATATTTGGCCAGTAGCATAATGGGATGAAGGGCTACCAAGTTCGTCCAAATGAATGACCTTCATCCATATTAAAGGTCACAGGGGTCAATTGTCTTGAAAACCTTTAGACGACTGAATTACCTAAATGTCTAGGGTGATGATATTTGGCCAGTAGCATAATGGGATGAAGGGCTACCAAGTTCGTCCAAATGAATGACCTTCATCCATATTAAAGGTCACAGGGGTCAATTGTCTTGAAAACCTTTAAACGACTTCTTCTGTATAACCAAAAGGTCCAGGGTGATGATATTTGGCCAGAAAGATGTTGGCATGAGGGGCTAACATGTATGTTCAAATGAATGACCTTTGTCCATATTTAAGGTCACAGGGGTCAATTGTCTTGAAAACCTTTAGACGACTGAATTACCTAAATGTCTAGGGTGATGATATTTGGCCAGTAGCATAATGGGATGAAGGGCTACCAAGTTCATTCAAATGAATGATCTTCATAGATATTAAAGGTCACAGAGGTCAATTGTCTTGAAAACCTTTAAACGACTTCTTCTGTATAACCAAAAGGTCCAGGTTGATGATATTTGGCCAAAAGGATGTAGGCATAAAGGGCTACAAAGTTTGTTCAAACAAATGACCTTCACTCATATTCAAGGTCACAGGGGTCAATTGTCTTAAAAACTTTTATACATCTTTTGTATAACCAAAAGGTCCAGGTTGATGATATTTCGCCAGTAGCATGCTTGGATAAATGGCTACAAAGTTTGTTCAAATGAATGACCTTCACCCATATTCAAGGTCACAGGGGGGTCAAATATGTATAAACCTTTAAACAATTTCTTCTAAATAGCCAAGAGGTCTAGGGTGTTGATATTTGGCCAGTAGCATGCTTGGATAAAGGGCTACGAAGTTTGTTCAAACGAATGACCTTCGCCCATATTCATGGTCACAGGGGTCAATTGTCTTAAAATCCTTTAAACGACTTCTTCTGTATAACCGAAAGGTCCATGGTGATGATATTTGGCCAGAAGGATGTTGGCATGAGGGGCTACCAAATTTGTTCAAATGAATGACCTTTGTCCATATTTAAGTTTACAGGGGTCAATTGTCTTGAAAACCTTTAGATGACTTCTTCTGAATTTCTTAAATGTCTAGGGTGATGATATTTGGCCAGTAGTATAATGGTATGAAGGGCTACCAGGTTTGTTCAAATGGATGACCTTCATCCGTATTAAAGGTCACAGGGGTCAATTGTCTTAAAAATCCTTTAAACAACTTCATCTGTATAACCGAAAGGTCCAGGGTGATGATATTTGGCCAGAAGGATGTTGGCATGAGGGCCTACCAAATTTGTTCAAATGAATGACCTTTGTCCATATTTAAGTTTACAGGGGTCAATTGTCTTGAAAACCTTTAGATGACTGAATTACCTAAATGTCTAGGGTGATGATATTTGGCCAGTAGCATAATGGTATGAAGGGCTACCAAGTTTGTTCAAATGGATGACCTTCATCCATATTAAAGGTCACAGGGGTCAATTGTTTTAAAAATCCTTTAAACAACTTCATCTGTATAACCGAAAGGTCCAGGGTGATGATATTTGGCCAGAAGGATGTTGGCATGAGGGGCTACCAAATTTGTTCAAATGAATGACCTTTGTCCATATTTAAGTTTACAGGGGTCAATTGTCTTGAAAACATTTAGACGACTTCTTCTGAATTTCCTAAATGTCTAGGGTGATGATATTTGGCCAGTAGCTTCATGGGATGAAGGGCTACCTAGTTCGTTCAAAAGAATGACCTTCATCCATATTAAAGGTCACAGGGGTCAATTGTCTTGAAAACCTTTAGACGACTTCTTCTGTATAACCAAAAGGTCCAGGGTGATGATATTTGGCCAGAAGGATGGTGGCATGTAGGTCTACCAAGTTTGTTCAAATGAATGACCTTCACCCATATTCAAGGTCACAGGGGTCAAATATGTTGAACTCTTTAAACGACTTCTAAATAAGTAAAGCATACAGGGTGATTTCTTGTTGTTGTGAATGACCTTGATACACTTTCATGGTCAATCTGGTCCATAGTGCATAAATCTTTAAAAGTCATCTTCTCAATAAACAAAAGGTATAGGCTTGTGATATTTGGCAAGTTGCATTCTGGGAAGAAGGGCTATGAAGTTTCTTCAACTTAATATCCATGTTTGAATTTTCTAAGGTCACAGGAGTCAAATATGTTTTAATCGTTTAACTGTTTCTTAAGAATGACTTGAAGTCAAGACACTTATATTTTGCTTGTAGCTTTATTTTAGTCCACTTTTAAGGTTACAATTGTGAGATTAATACCAGGTGAGCGATGCAGGCCCAATGGGTCTCTTGTTATAAGTCCCAGCCTCACATGCCATCCAAGGCTTTTGTTTATGCTGAAAACAGAAATGCTTCCTAAAAGTGTATTACACTCAGTGATGATTTTCCGCTCTTGTAGAAAATCACATATAATAGAAACATATTTAGATATGTATTAACTTGTTATAAGTAGAATAAATAATACCTGTCTTTTTGGAAAAAAATCTTCATATTCTTCAGGTCCAGTTATGTACTTCTACTGGGATTTGGCTAAATACTCTCCTCAAGCGAGGATTTGCCCTCACTAAAAGTCTCTTGAGGCCAGAAAAGGTGAAGGTCACACTGACCCCAAGGTCAGACATGAAGGAGACAAGGAACCCACCAAGCCTCCAGAGAGACCAGCCAAACATGGCCGCCATCACAGAAGATGTTGAGCAGACAGAGACAGGAACATCAGGAGAGCTCACATCAAGGGACACCACTCCTATTCGAGACCTTCTCATGAAGGATATGCCAGAAAATGGAGTGAAGCTATCGTTATGGTTACAGTGGACATTACCGAAGTTTGAAATACGGTTTTATAGACAGAGAGAAGGACAGGGACAAGGTAAGGCATTGTCAGCACTGGGTTAGACTTTGTCAGGACAAGGTCAGGCATTGTCAGAACTGGGTTAGGGTTTGTCAGGCATTGTCAGAGGTGGGTTAGACTTTGTCAGGACAAGGTTAGTCATTGTCAGAACTGGATAAGACTTCTCAGGACAAGGTCAGGCATTGCCAGAACTGGGTTAGGGTTTGTCAGGCATTGTCAAAACTGGGTAAGGCTTTGTCAGGACAAGTCCAGGCATTGTCAGAACTTGGTTAGACTTTGTCAGGACTAGGTCAGGCATTGTCAAAACTGGGTAAGGCTTTGTCAGGACAAGGCCAGGCATTGTCAAAACTGGTTTAGGCTTTGTCAGGAGGTTAGGGTTTGTCAGGCATTGTCAGAAATGGGTTAGGCTTTGTCAGGCATTGTCAGAACTGCGTAAGCCTTTGTCAGGACATGGTCAGGCATTGTCAGAACTTGGTTAGACTTTGGCAGGACAAGGTTAGACATTGTCAAAACTGGATAAGACTTGTCAGGGCAAGGTCAGGCATTGTCAGACCTGGGTTAGGCTTTGTCAGGCAATGTCAGAACTGGGTTAGTCTTTGTCAGGCATTGTCAGAGGTGGGTTAGACTTTGTCAGGACTAGGTCAGGCATTGTCAAAACTGGGAGAGGCTTTGTCAGGACAAGGCTAGGCATTGTCAGAACTTGGTTGGACTTTGTCAGGACAAGGTCGGGCATTGTCAGAACTGGGTTAGGCCTTGTCAGGCCAAGGTCAGCCATTGTCAGAACTGGGTTAGTCTTTGTCAGGAAAAGGTCAGGAATTGTCAGACATGGGTTAGGCTTTGTCAGGACACGGTCAGGCATTGTCAGAACTGGCTTAGATTTTGTCAGGAAAAGGTCAGGCATTGTCAGACCTGGGTTAGGCTTTGTCAGAACTGGGTTAGACTTGGTCAGGACAAGGTCAGGCATTGCCAGAACTGGGTTAGGCTTTGTAAGGCATTGTCAGAACTGGGGTAGGCTTTGTCAGGACAAGGCTAGGCATTGTCAGAACTTGGTTAGACTTTGTCAGGGCAAGGTTAGACATTGTCAGAACTGGGTAAGGCTTTGTCAGGCCAAGGCCAGGCATTGCCAGAACTTGGTTAGACTTTGTCAGGGCAAGGTTAGACATTGTCAGAACTGGGTAAGGCTTTGTCAGGACAAGGTAAGGCATTGTCAGTACTGGGTTAGACTTTGTCAGGACTAGGTCAGGCATTGTCAAAACTGGGTAAGGCTTTGTCAGGACAAGGCCAGGCATTGTCAGAACTTGGTTAGACTTTGTCAGGACAAGGTTAGACATTGTCAGAACTGGATAAGACTTGTCAGGACAAGGTCAGGCATTGTCAGAACTGGGTTAGGCTTTGTCAGGACAAGGCCAGGCATTGTCAGAACTTGGTTAGACTTTGTCAGGACAAGGTCAGGCATTGTCAAAACTGGGTAAGGCTTTGTCAGGCCAAGGCCAGGCATTGTCAGAACTTGGTTAGACTTTGTCAGGACACGGTCAGACATTGTCAGAACTGGGTAAGACTTGTAAGGACAAGGTCAGGCATTGTCAGAACTGGGTAAGGCTTTGTCAGGACAAGGTCAGGCATTGTCAAAACTGGGTAAGGCTTTGTCAGGACAAGGTCAGGCATTGTCAGAACTTGGTTAGACTTTGTCAGGACAAGGTCAGACATTGTCAGAACTGGGTAAGACTTGTCAGGACAAGGTCAGGCATTGTCAGAACTGGGTTAGGCTTTGTCAGGACAAGGTCAGGCGTTGTCAGAACTGGGTTAGGCTTTGTCAGGACAAGGTCAGGCATTGTCAGAACTGGGTAAGACTTTGTCAGGACAAGGTTAGGCTTTGTCAGGACAAGGTCAGGCATTGTCAAAACTGGGTTAGGCTTTGTCAGGACAAGGTCAGGCATTGTCAGAACTGGGTTAGGCTTTGTCAGGACAAGGTCAGGCATTGTCAGAACTGGGATAGACTTCGTCAAGACAAGGTCAGGCATTGTCAGAACTGGGTTAGGCTTTGTCAGAACTGGGTTAGACTTTTTTCAGAACAAGGTCAGGCACTGTCAGAACTGGGTTAGACTTTGTCAGAACAGGGTTAGACTTTATCAGGACAGGGTAAGGCTTTGTCCGAACCGGGTAAGACTTTGTCAAAACTGGGTTAGACTTTGTCCGAACTGGGTTAGACTTTATCAGAACATGGTAAGGCTTTGTCAGAACTGGGTTGGCCTTTTTCAGGACAAGGTAAAGCATTTAGTCCAGGAGCTAGAAGGGTCCACCGTGCAGCCACCCCCCCCCCCCACAAACCTCCGAACTAATATTTTTCTGAGGCCCCATGATGGCCTGATCACGAAAATAAATGTTCACATTGCATAAGTTGGGACAAACTTCCGGTTATGACGTCATCAAGATGGCCACCATAGTGAAATTTACCCAAAATGTGAAAAAAATCATAAAATCATTATTTTTCGATCAAATTTAACAAATGAGGTATCAAAATGACAGCAATAGAATAACAAACAGATCTGTTAACAAAACAAACTACTATAAAAAGATTTATTTCTAAAAAAAATGAATTTATATCAATTTTGAGGTCAAAATTGAACATTTTCACAAAATAATTGTCATTATTTTTTGGTCAAATTTCTTCCATGGGTCTATTCACACTGCTCATGGTATTACGAGGCAGTACATTGAAGGAAACCCAGAGCAACAGGGGGCTACTCGTCCTGAAATCCTGTCCGTCAGCAGAAGTGGAGCGCGTTTTCTGAAAACAGATCAAGTCGTGAATCTTCCTGAATGCTATGTGACACAACGAAAGAGTCCATCCCTCACAATCCAACTTTTGACATGCCCTGGAGGCGAAGAAGTCCTAAAACGCGCCATGAGACGCAATTTTGTCTGGGTTCTCATTCGCATGATGCGTACAGCCTCACAGGACGTACCTGGTTGGACCGGCTTCACATCCTTAACTGGTATGCCACCAACAAATCTCACCACCATTGGCCCATTGACAAATCTCACCACCCAGTCATCACCCAATTCAACCCATCACTGAGTATAAGACCGTGCAAGAATGTCTGAGATATGCTGAAGAGGCCACACATGAAGTAGTATGTCATAACAACCTTCGACTTGAGAGTCTGCATGAAGGCATATCCATTGCTTTGGAACAACCCTAAATGGTATGAGAAGCATATTGTTTTGATTGGTACCTTCCACCTCGTGTGTGCTCATCTGAAGATGGTGGGGAAGAGGATGGATTGCTCTGGTTTGTCTGATATCCTACTTGAAGCAGGACTGATTGCCTCTGATTCATTGCAAGGTGTGATATCCGGAAAGCACTATGACAGGGCGATACACTGCCATAAGACCATGATGGGGTGCTTGGAAAGGTTGTTATTGGAACAATGCATGGCTTACCAAGATGACCAGGAACTGCTCTCTTCCATCCCAGCAGACTCGATGAAGAAGTTGGATGATTTGTTACAATCGCTCACAGAAACCAAATTGGACGCAGCATTAGATGACAATGCATTCAGTAACTACATCCAGGGTTACCTGCAGTATAGAGTGGAGGTCAGTGAAGGCAGTCACGGAAAAACTGCCCAACTTTGGGCTTCCTACTTGAGTTATATATGGCTAGTACTCTCTCTCTCGTAAAGGCAGTGAAGCACAATGACTTCCTTGCATGTGCACACTGATGCATATCATGACAGACATATTTTTTGCATTCGGTAGTCAGAACTACGCCCGATATCTCACATACTTCTCCATCTTCCTGGCTAACATTGAGGTATCTCATCCCAGAGCAACTGATTTGAGCAAGAGGGGAGCCATGAGTGTGGCTCGTTCCTTCATACCCGGAAAAAGCTTTGCCGTCGACAAAACTATGCCAAATCTCATGGTGGCGCTGGTGGGGATGGTTTTGGTGTTTCAGGGGTTCTCAGCAACCATGATGCATACCAAAGATTGGTGCGAACAACACAAGCGAGTCCCAGTATATCAACACGAACATGGCTGACATGCTGACAGACAGCCAAAGTGGACCTGCAGAGATCCTGAAAAGTGAGAAATGCGTACGAAAGGCAAAGGGGGCAGTTGAAAGCTTCATCAATCCATTTATAGTTGACGACCAAGACAAACTTATCAGTCTTTTATCTGGAGCTGCTGCCACTGAGATTATATCAACTGATGTTCTGGATGCAGAAAAGTCAGAAAAAGAGGCACAGAAAGCTTTCATAGAGAAGAATGAAAACTTCTTTGAACCAGTAAAGCGGATGAATCTGAGAACGCTTGGTGATATGAACAAGAAGATGAAAGTAACAACGGCAACAAGGCAATATTGTCTTCCAACTATTTGTGAAATCCCAAAGCCAGGGCTTGCAGTTGGACATGAAGGGGCTGATGACGTACCCGCTGACCCCTGTCCCATACAGCATTGGAACAGCAGATGGATTTCTGGCAAAGACAGACAAATCTAAATCTTTCCAGTATCTGCATGACCAAAGAGTGTGAGGATGCACCGGTTCAATTGGCTGAGTCAACACTTGTGGTCTATGATGGTAATGCCTACTTCTACTACCAGCCAATTTCAGCTTGATCTGCAACAAGATTTTGTCATGATGTCAACGACAACAGATGCGGTGTTCAGCACAGATATGAATACTCCCAATTCTGTCAAATCCATGGAACGTGGGAAGTGAGAAGTTCATTGTAAAGGGGGCAAGCACAAAGAAACCTCCTGATTGGAAGCAGTTCCTGACAAATGATGACAACAAGACACAATTCATAGATCTCCTCTGCAAGACGTGGAGTAATCATTCATATGCCAATTAGCTGCTTGGAAGAAAAGTCATCATCACATGTGAAGGAGCTGCATACCAGCTGACGTCTGAAGATGGGCAAAGCACAGCGAAGACGGAGATCGAACCTCTTCTCTCATCCCAAGAGGAAACTGATTCCAGAGTAGTTTTGTACTGCATGTATGGAAAGGACAAGGGATACGAGTACATCCGGATCAAAAGTCCAGACAGCGATGTATTCTTCATCCTACTGCACTACGCCCTCACATTGACAAATGTAGTGATTCTATTTGACACTGGCACTGGAAATAAGCAGCGACTGATCAACATCACCGAACTGGCTAAGGGCTATACACAGAACCACTGCACAGCACTCATGTGTCTCCATGCATACACTAGATGTGACAATACCATCGCATTCAAAGGAATAGGAAAGATCAAGCCACTGAAAACTCTCTAGAAAACTCCAGAGTTTGCTGCTGTACTCTGCAGGTTGGGGAAAACTTGGGACATAACCGAAGACCTCCTTGATGAACTGGAGGAATTCACGTGTGCCATATATGGTCGTGCTAGAGTGCACAAGGTTAATGAGCTGCGATACATCCCCATTCAGGAGCTGTGTGGCAAAGAAGACCAACCCCACCCTTCAAAGAATGTGGACCTGGGATCACTTCCACCATGCAGATGAAGTCTGGAGCAGCACGTAAGATGTGTCAATTATCAGGTTAGAATCTGGGAGAGGGCTCACATTGCTGAATCAGATATTCCAGATGTGAAGGTTGACCATGGATGCATGGGAGGTCAGGATGGAAAGCTGGAGCCACTGTGGTACACAGGAGCTCATCGACATCGCTGGCGAACCACTGGAGTCTGACGACGATGTGGATTCAGATGACTCGGAAACTGTATACCAGCTGACAGATAGGCTAGATCAGTTTAGTGTACAAAGCAGTGGTGAAGGCACAGACAGTGATCTGGATTGACAATATGTACCCTCGAATGATATGAACTCTGTGTTTGTTAGATATTTAGACAAACAGAAACGGCAATTATTGTTGATATGACTGTTGATATTTGAACAGTTGTGATACACAGGATATGAACAAAATTGCGTGTGGTCATTCAGCTCAATAGGTGAATAAAACATTTCTAAATTATGACTAAGGTTGTTTGCTTTCTAGAAAAGATTTGACCAAAAATAATGACAATTATTTTGTGAAAAATTGAATTTATGACCTCAAAATCGACATAAATTAATTTTTGTTGGAAATGAATCTATTCATAGTAGTTTATTTTGTTAACAGATCTGTTTGTTATTCTATTGCGGTCATTTTGATACCTCATTTGTTAATTTTGATCGAAAAATAACGATTTTATGATTTTTTTCACATATTGGGTAAATTTCACTATGGTGGCCATCTTGATGTTGTCATAACTGGAAGTTCGTCCAAACTTACGCAATGTTAACATTTATATTCGTGATCAGGGCGTCATGGGTCTTCAGAAAAATATTGGTCAGAACTGGGTTGGGCATTGTCAGATTTTGGTGAGAAGGGCGGCGTGGTGTGGGGTCCGTCTTCTGTCCGTCAGTTGTCCCTCCGGCGTCCGTCCGGCATCAACGTTTTACTTTAAACAACTTCTTCTGAATAACCAAGAGGCCCAGGCTGATGATATTTGGCCAGTAGAATGCTGGGATGAAGGGCTACCTAGTGTATTCAAATGAATGACCTGGACCCACTTTCAAGGTGACAGGGGCCAAGTGTCTTAAAATCATCAAACAACTTCTCCTCAATAACCAAAAGGCCCAGAGTACTGATATTGGGTCTGTAGCATGCTGGAATGAAGGGCTACCAAGTTTGTTCAAATTAATGACCTTGACCCACTTTCAAGGTCACAGGGGTAAAATATTGTAAAATCTTCAAACGACTTCTCAATAACTAAAAGGCCCAGGGTACTGGTATTGGGCCTGTAGCATGCTGAAATGAAGGACTACCAAGTTTGTTCAAACGAATGACCTTAACCCACTTTCATGGTCACAGGGGTCAAATTTCGTAAAATCTTCAAACAACTTCCTCTCAATAACCAAAACATCCAGGGTACTGAATGAAATTGGGCCTGTAGCACGGCTAGTTACTCGTACTCGAAAGAGAGAGCACTTCACACCTGTGCTTTATTTGTTGCACTGGTTACCTGTACGATACAGGTCGCAGTACAAAATTCTGGTGTACACATACAAGGCACTGAATGGAGCAGCTCCTCGGTACCTACAGGAGCTTGTTACCTCGTATCAGTCGTCACGATCACTGCGGTTGGAGACAGAATCTTTGTTGTGTGTCCCAAAATCTCGTACTGTGACCTTAGGAAACAGATGCTTTGGGAAGGTTTCGGCTACATTGTGGAATAGCTTACCATCTGCAATTAGAAAGTCAAATACCCTGGCCAAGTTCAAGAGGGACATCAAAACTCACCTCTTCACGTTTGCATTTTAGAATCTTTTCAAAGACGTTATGTAAATACAACCCTTTTATTTGTTCAATTATGTGCACATTGCTTGTTTAAATGTATAAAAGTGATTGTAAGCCTTTGTTGTTTGTTTTCACAATTATAACCATTACTATTATCCATATGTTGTAAAGCGCTTTAGAGTAATTTTACAAATTATATAGGGCGCTATGTTAATGTTGTATATTATTATTATTATTAAAAGGCCCAGGGTACTGATATTGGGCCTGTAACATACTGGGAAGAAGGGCTACCAAGTTTTTTCAAATGAATGACCTTGACCCACTTTCAATCTTATGTCCTTGTTCGACATTCAAGGTCACAGGCATCAAATGTTTATATCTTTTAATAGGTTCTTATGAATCAATCACTAATATTCTGCCTGTAGCTGTATTGAAGTCCACTTTTAAGATTACAAGTGTGAGATTAATACCAGGTGAGCGATGCAGGCCCATTGGGCCTCTTGTATTTATCTAGCTTCAGTTTTGTGTGTCTATACTACCTACAGATACCAAGGTTACCGTGGTGATGGAAGACCTGACAACTTCTGTTGATGTGGAAGCAATCTACGCCAAGGTCAAGGTCACATGTGGTGGATGTTGTATACATCATTATAATAGAAACCATCAGAGGTATGTTAACCACCATCAGGTATGTACTCTACCATCAGGTATATACTTTACCATCAGGTATATACTCTACCATCAGAGGTATGGTAACCACCATCAGGTATGTACTCTACCATCAGGTATATACTTTACCATCAGGTATATACTCTACCATCAGAGGTATGTTAACCACCATCAGGTATGTACTCTACCATCAGGTATATACTTTACCATCAGGTATATACTCTACCATCAGAGGTATGGTAACCACCATCAGGTATGTACTCTACCATCAGGTATATACTTTACCATCAGGTATATACTCTACCATCAGAGGTATGTTAACCACCATCAGGTATGTACTCTACCATCAGAGGTATGTACTCTACCATCAGAGGTATGTACACTACCATCAGAGGTATGTACTCTACCATCAGGTATATACTCTACCATCAGGTATGTACTCTACCATCAGGTATGTACTCTACCATCAGGTATGTACTCTACCATCAGAGGTATGTACTCTACCATCAGAGGTATGTACTCTACCATCAGAGGTATGTACTCTACCATCAGAGGTATGTACTCTACCATCAGAGGTATGTACTCTACCATCAGAGGTATGTACTCTACCATCAGAGGTATGTACTCTACCATCAGAGGTATGTACTCTACCATCAGAGGTATGTACTCTACCATCAGAGGTATGTACTCTACCATCAGAGGTATGTACTCTACCATCAGAGGTATGTACTCTACCATCAGAGGTATGTACTCTACCATCAGAGGTATGTACTCTACCATCAGAGGTATGTACTCTACCATCAGAGGTATGTACTCTACCATCAGAGGTATGTACTCTACCATCAGAGGTATGTACTCTACCATCAGAGGTATGTACTCTACCATCAGAGGTATGTACTCTACCATCAGAGGTATGTACTCTACCATCAGAGGTATGTACTCTACCATCAGAGGTATGTACTCTACCATCAGAGGTATGTACTCTACCATCAGAGGTATGTACTCTACCATCAGAGGTATGTACTCTACCATCAGATATGTACTCTACCATCAGAGGTATGTACTCTACCATCAGAGGTATGTACTCTACCATCAGAGGTATGTACTCTACCATCAGAGGTATGTACTCTACCATCAGAGGTATGTACTCTACCATCAGAGGTATGTACTCTACCATCAGAGGTATGTACTCTACCATCAGAGGTATGTACTCTACCATCAGAGGTATGTACTCTACCATCAGAGGTATGTACTCTACCATCAGAGGTATGTACTCTACCATCAGAGGTATGTACTCTACCATCAGAGGTATGTACTCTACCATCAGAGGTATGTACTCTACCATCAGAGGTATGTACTCTACCATCAGAGGTATGTACTCTACCATCAGAGGTATGTACTCTACCATCAGAGGTATGTACTCTACCATCAGAGGTATGTACTCTACCATCAGAGGTATGTACTCTACCATCAGAGGTATGTACTCTACCATCAGAGGTATGTACTCTACCATCAGAGGTATGTACTCTACCATCAGAGGTATGTACTCTACCATCAGAGGTATGTACTCTACCATCAGAGGTATGTACTCTACCATCAGAGGTATGTACTCTACCATCAGAGGTATGTACTCTACCATCAGAGGTATGTACTCTACCATCAGAGGTATGTACTCTACCATCAGAGGTATGTACTCTACCATCAGAGGTATGTACTCTACCATCAGAGGTATGTACTCTACCATCAGAGGTATGTACTCTACCATCAGAGGTATGTACTCTACCATCAGAGGTATGTACTCTACCATCAGAGGTATGTACTCTACCATCAGAGGTATGTACTCTACCATCAGAGGTATGTACTCTACCATCAGAGGTATGTACTCTACCATCAGAGGTATGTACTCTACCATCAGAGGTATGTACTCTACCATCAGAGGTATGTACTCTACCATCAGAGGTATGTACTCTACCATCAGAGGTATGTACTCTACCATCAGAGGTATGTACTCTACCATCAGAGGTATGTACTCTACCATCAGAGGTATGTACTCTACCATCAGAGGTATGTACTCTACCATCAGAGGTATGTACTCTACCATCAGAGGTATGTACTCTACCATCAGAGGTATGTACTCTACCATCAGAGGTATGTACTCTACCATCAGAGGTATGTACTCTACCATCAGAGGTATGTACTCTACCATCAGAGGTATGTACTCTACCATCAGAGGTATGTACTCTACCATCAGAGGTATGTACTCTACCATCAGAGGTATGTACTCTACCATCAGAGGTATGTACTCTACCATCAGATGTATGTACTCTACCATCAGAGGTATGTACTCTACCATCAGAGGTATGTACTCTACCATCAGAGGTATGTACTCTACCATCAGAGGTATGTACTCTACCATCAGAGGTATGTACTCTACCATCAGAGGTATGTACTCTACCATCAGAGGTATGTACTCTACCATCAGAGGTATGTACTCTACCATCAGAGGTATGTACTCTACCATCAGAGGTATGTACTCTACCATCAGAGGTATGTACTCTACCATCAGAGGTATGTACTCTACCATCAGAGGTATGTACTCTACCATCAGAGGTATGTACTCTACCATCAGAGGTATGTACTCTACCATCAGAGGTATGTACTCTACCATCAGAGGTATGTACTCTACCATCAGAGGTATGTACTCTACCATCAGAGGTATGTACTCTACCATCAGAGGTATGTACTCTACCATCAGAGGTATGTACTCTACCATCAGAGGTATGTACTCTACCATCAGAGGTATGTACACTACCTTCAGAGGTATGTACACTACCATCAGAGATATGTACACTACCATCAGAGGTATGTACTCTACCATCAGAGGTATGTACTCTACCATCAGAGGTATGTACTCTACCATCAGGTATATACTCTACCATCAGAGGTATGTACACTACCTTCAGAGGTATGTTAACCACCATCAGGTATATACTCTACCATCAGAGGTATGTACACTACCATCAGAGGTATGTACACTACCATCAGAGGTATGTACTCTACCATCAGAGGTATGTACACTACCTTCAGAGTTATGTACACTACCATCAGAGATATGTACACTACCTTCAGAGGTATGTACACTACCATCAGAGGTATGTACACTACCATCAGAGGTATGTACTCTACCATCAGAGGTATGTTCACTTCCATCATTCAATGAAGTGCTAAATGAGCTTATACAGTGGTGCGGCGTCCGTCGTCCGGCCGTTGACCGGCCGGCATCTGGCATCAATATTTTACTTTAAACAACTTCTTCTGCATAACCAAGATGCCCAGGCTGCTGATATTTGGTCAGTAGCATGCTGGGATGACGGGCCACCAAGTTTGTTCAAATTAATGACCTTGACCCACGTTCAACCTACTGTCCTTGGTCAACATTCAAGGTCACAGACGTCATATTTTTAAATCTTTTAATAGGTTCTTAAGAATCAAACACTGATAATCTGCCTTTAGCTGTATTTTAGTTCACTTTAAAGATTACAAGTGTGAGATTAATACTAGGTGAGCGATGCAGGCCCATTGGGCCTCTTGTTAGGATATATCTTAAATAAGTTTGTCGCCTTCTGTCCTTGTTACATCAATTAGCAGTTTATTGAACCCTTCTGAAGAAAACAATGTTTAACATGTTGATTAAGTGTATAATGTAGATAAACAATGAGTAATCTTACTTGTCATTGTTTTAGCCATAACCTTTTGTTTTCACCAAACCTCTTAAAAGTTATAAACCTTTTGATCTTTTCTCAGTGCAAAGCCTACAAGCTGGTCTAAAGGGGAAAACCTTGGAATCTTGATGAGTTCCCAAAAGGAACTGGCCAGTGACATTCACGTCGTATCAAACAAGGTGTGGTCATGTGACTCACAGACCTCACCTACTCACACCTTCATGATTGGAGAGTCAAAAACAAGGGAGGTAAACCGCCGTTTTATTAATCTCACCTTCACGCGGGCCTTGTGCAAAAATGTGAAACAAAAATTACGAAAAATAAATGCTGACTTAGTTGGTGTACAGGAAGTTGGGAGTGAAGTGGCAAATGAACTTTATTTCCATAAACATATCTCTGAGGTGTGTCTCAGTCTGGAGCCGTGCGATTTTGTGTTCAATATTCCAGCTCTTCTAACAGTGGCAGATTGTTTCGCTGTTTCTAGTGTCAAAAATTCTGGATCATTACCTAAGAGTTCAACTCCTAATCTGGTTGCTGGAGAGCCGAACTTTGCTCCCATGGTGACGTCTAGCCTTCTTCCTCTTCTCTATGTTGATATGGCCAGCATACGAGTGTTCATGCCTGTTAAACATTCCACTGGTCCTGATCTCGCATCTCGGGTAGAAAAAGACAACAAATTTACGAGTACAGTGGATCATGATTTAATTGTGGGGTTCATACACTCAATTGCTGTCACCCCACAAGCAGACAACCCGTTGCCACGTTATGCAGTGGAGAAAGAACTGTATAGCCGAGCAATGCATCATGGGATAGATAGAGTGCCAGGTTCTTCAATCGAGAACCGACAATACCAAATGGAATTCAAAGGACTATCACTCTGCACAGGTATTTATATAATACATTCAAAAGAAAATATTGTTAATAATTAAAATGTAGTTGCTCCACAAAAGACAAAATAAAAATAGATATTTTGAGCCAAACTTTAGCCATCTTTAAGTTTGTATATTTTAAGATGTTCTGTACCTAAATACACAGTTGATTTATATCTATGATTGATCATACATCAGAGGAAAATGTCTGTTTGACATGAAATACAACATCACAAAGTCGTCAAAATTAGCCCTCATGTCTAGACCAGCACAACCAGTGTGTATAGTTGGCTTGATTTACTAAAGTGACACTTACAGCAACTGATTTGGATTTGTGAACAGTTCTTAAAATAATTGTTTGGAGACCTTTTATACATGGCAGCAATTAAAGGTTGTCAGATTAAGTGATATATATTGGTATTTATGAATGACAGAATATAGCAGAAGGACAGATACATTTAGAAAGTTGTTGTTGAAAAAAAGCTTTCAAACCATACAGATAAAACGTCTCATGTCTGGCGACTTAGTAGTGTCTGGGGACTTAGTAGTGTCTGGGGACTTAGTAGTGTCTATGGACTTAGTAGTGTCTGTGGACTTAGAAGTGTCTGGGGTCTTATTAGTGTCTGTGGACTTAGTAGTGTCTGGGGACTTAGTAGTGTCTGGGGACTTAGTAGTGTCTGGGGACATAGTAGTGTCTGGGGACTTAGTAGTGTCTGGGGACTTAGTAGTGTCTGGGGACTTGGTAGTGTCTGGGGACTTAGTAGTGTCTGGGGACATAGTAGTGTCAGGGGACTTAGTAGTGTCTGGGGACTTAGTAGTGTCTGGGGACTTAGTAGTGTCAGGGGACTTAGTAGTGGCTGGGGGCTTAGTAGTGTCAGGGGGCTTAGTAGGGTCTGGCTGGGGACTTAGGAGTGTCGGCGGCCTAAGTGGTGTCTGGGGTATTAGTAGTGTCTGTGGACTTTGTAGTGACTTTGGATTTAGTAGTGTCTGGGGAGTTTGTAGTGTCTGGGGGCTTGGTAGTGTCTGGGGTCTTGGTAGTGTCTAGAGACATAGTAGTGTCTGGGGACTAAGTGGGGTCTGGGGTCTTAGTAGTGTCTGGGGACTAAGTAGTGTCTGGGGTCTTCGTAGTGTCTGGGGACTTAGAAGTGTCTGGGGACTTAGTGGTGTCTGGGGTCTTAGCAGTGTCTGTGGACTTAGTAGTGTCTGGGGACTTAGTAGTGTCTGGGGACTAAGTGGTGTCTGGGGTCTTAGTAGTGTCTGTGGACTTAGTAGTGTCTGGGGACTTAGTAGTGTCTGGGGACTTAGTAGTGTCTGTCTGGGGACTTAGTAGTGTCTGGGGACTTGGTAGTGTCTGGGGTCTTAGTAGTGTCTGGGGACTTAGTAGTGTCTGGGGACTTAGTAGTGTCTGGGGACTTAGTAGTGTCTGGGGACATAATAATGTCTGGGGTCTTAGTAGTGTCTGTCTGGGGAACCTTCTTCATCAATACCAATCTAGAAAATCTTACACAAACTACTTGTCTGTTTTTTGTAGGGTGCTGGTCAGATTTTGTGGACAGACAAACAAGTGGGGAGCAGTCAGACATTGCTACACCTACTATACAGATTCCAGCTCTGGAGTGGAACACCCTACTCAAACCAGAGTATGTCAATAATCATGTTATTTCATATTTAGAGACCATAGAAAACTGTAGAACAAGTACTTGATTGTTTTTGTGAGGTATACTTTTTTGTAAGATATATATTTTTGCTAGGTGTATACTTTTTGTGAGGTGAGTTATATAGTTTTAAGCAAGAGGTTCCCAGCTGGAGAAAAAAACTTGATGTTATAAATAAAGGTAGTAACTACTTGTTAAAGGCGAAAGGGGGCGGGGCCCCTACAGGGGAAATATGGGTAAATCTTAGCCTACTCCTTAAAGTGTGGGTGATGGAATTTAAATCTAGTTGGCATGAAGCATCTCTAGGCCAATGTATAAGTAAAGGGTGTGGCCCCCATTGGGGTAAGTGGGCAGGCCCTCAATGATGATAAATATTTAGAAGACCTCTACTAAAGTAAGGATAAAAGGGATTTTAATTTATTTATTTAAATGAAGGATGTGTTTTAGAAAGCACTCCATATATAAAAGGTTTAGAAAGTACTCCATATATAAAAGGTTTAGAAAGTACTCCATATATAAAAGGTTTAGAAAGTACTCTATATATAAAAGTACTCCATATATAAAAGGTTTAGAAAGTACTCCATATATAAAAGGTTTAGAAAGTACTCCATATATAAAAGTACTCCATATATAAAAGGTTTAGAAAGTACTCTATATATAAAAGTACTCCATATATAAAAGGTTTAGAAAGCACTCCATATATAAAAGGTTTAGAAAGTACTCCATATATAAAAGTACTCCATATATAAAAGGTTTAGAAAGTACTCTATATATAAAAGTACTCCATATATAAAAGGTTTAGAAAGTACTCCATATATAAAAGGTTTAGAAAGTACTCCATATATAAAAGTTTTAGAAAGTACTCCATATATAAAAGTACTCCATATATAAAAGGTTTAGAAAGTACTCCATATATAAAAGGTTTAGAAAGTACTCCATATATAAAAGGTTTAGAAAGTACTCCATATATAAAAGGTTTAGAAAGTACTCCATATATAAAAGGTTTAGAAAGTACTCCATATATAAAAGGTTTAGAAAGTACTCCATATATAAAAGGTTTAGAAAGTACTCCATATATAAAAGGTTTAGAAAGTACTCCATATATAAAAGGTTTAGAAAGTACTCCATATATAAAAGGTTTAGAAAGTACTCCATATATAAAAGGTTTAGAAAGTACTCCATATATAAAAGGTTTAGAAAGTACTCCATATATAAAAGGTTTAGAAAGTACTCCATATATAAAAGGTTTAGAAAGTACTCCATATATAAAAGGTTTAGAAAGTACTCCATATATAAAAGGTTTAGAAAGTACTCCATATATAAAAGGTTTAGAAAGTACTCCATATATAAAAGGTTTAGAAAGTACTCCATATATAAAAGGTTTAGAAAGTACTCCATATATAAAAGGTTTAGAAAGTACTCCATATATAAAAGGTTTAGAAAGTACTCCATATATAAAAGGTTTAGAAAGTACTCCATATATAAAAGGTTTAGAAAGTACTCCATATATAAAAGGTTTAGAAAGTACTCCATATATAAAAGGTTTAGAAAGTACTCCATATATAAAAGGTTTAGAAAGTACTCCATATATAAAAGGTTTAGAAAGTACTCCATATATAAAAGGTTTAGAAAGTACTCCATATATAAAAGGTTTAGAAAGTACTCCATATATAAAAGGTTTAGAAAGTACTCCATATATAAAAGGTTTAGAAAGTACTCCATATATAAAAGGTTTAGAAAGTACTCCATATATAAAAGGTTTAGAAAGTACTCCATATATAAAAGGTTTAGAAAGTACTCCATATATAAAAGGTTTAGAAAGTACTCCATATATAAAAGTACTCCATATATAAAAGGTTTAGAAAGTACTCCATATATAAAAGGTTTAGAAAGTACTCCATATATAAAAGGTTTAGAAAGTACTCCATATATAAAAGGTTTAGAAAGTACTCCATATATAAAAGGTTTAGAAAGTACTCCATATATAAAAGGTTTAGAAAGTACTCCATATATAAAAGGTTTAGAAAGTACTCCATATATAAAAGGTTTAGAAAGTACTCCATATATAAAAGGTTTAGAAAGTACTCCATATATAAAAGGTTTAGAAAGTACTCCATATATAAAAGGTTTAGAAAGTACTCCATATATAAAAGGTTTAGAAAGTACTCCATATATAAAAGGTTTAGAAAGTACTCCATATATAAAAGGTTTAGAAAGTACTCCATATATAAAAGGTTTAGAAAGTACTCCATATATAAAAGGTTTAGAAAGTACTCCATATATAAAAGGTTTAGAAAGTACTCCATATATAAAAGGTTTAGAAAGTACTCCATATATAAAAGGTTTAGAAAGTACTCCATATATAAAAAGGTTTAGAAAGCACTCCATATATAAATGGTTTAGAAAGTACTCCATATATAAAAGGTTTAGAAAGTACTCCATATACAAAAGGTTTAGAAAGTACTCCATATGTGAAAGGTTTAGAAAGTACTCCATATATAAAAGGTTTAGAAAGTACTCCATATATAAAAGTTTTAGAAAATACTCCTTATATAAAAGTACTCCATATATAAAAGGTTTAGAAAGTACTCCATATACAAAAGGTTTAGAAAGTACTCCATATATAAAAGGTTTAGAAAGAACTCCATATGTAAAAGATTTAAAAAGTACTCCATATATAAAAGGTTTAGAAAGTACTTCATATATAAAAGGTTTAGAAAGTACTCCATATATAAAAGGTTTAGAAAGTACTCAATATATAAAAGGTTTAGAAAATACTCCATATATAAAAGGTTTAGAAAGTACTCTTATACAAAAGGTTTAGAAAGTACTCCATATATAAAAGGTTCAGAAAGTACTCCATATATAAAAGGTTTAGAAAGTACTCCATATATAAAAGGTTTAGAAAGTACTCCATATATAAAAAGGTTTAGAAAGTACTCCATATATAAAAGTACTCCATATATAAAAGGTTCAGAAAGTACTCCATATATAAAAGGCTTAGAAAGTACTCCATATATAAAAGGTTTAGAAAGTACTCCATATATAAAAGTACTCCATATATAAAAGGATTTTGACAAAATTTGACATGATTCACCTCTTGGTCAAGAAAAGTCAATATTATATAAATGAAAGGTTTTACTCACCTGAAGGCAGGATGGATAGGGCCCAATAGTAGAAAAGGGAGGATTACATCTGAAAAGGCTACTCCTTAAGTAAAGATGAATAGATTTTAACCTGATGTTATGGGAACCATCCCTGTGCCAGGTTTGACTGTTTTAACAGTTAATGGTTTCGGGCCTCTAGGGCAAGTCTGAATAAACTGATACTGTTACAATAGGTGTCCAGGCTAAATGCCTGTCACTAATATAGCTTCCTACAGGAAACAGTCCTGTTAACAGAACTTCCTGTTATCAAACATGTGACAAAAGGGTGAGGACCATTCAATCCTTGGTGAAGGGCCAACCCCGAAAAGGTTGTTGATGATTATACAGTTGTGGGATCGCACAATGTTACACGATGTGCGGTGTGCACACGATGTGTGCACGGTGTGTGAATGATGTGTGCACGAAGTGCGAATGATAAAAAATAAATTGGACGATCATTGCTTGTGCGGTAACAATCGTGGTTGGTGTAAATTGAGGAATGGCTTAACATGTTTAGTATGTTTCTATATTCTGTCTATACTTTCTTAAATGTAGAAATGGTGATTTCGACCTTAATCGACACAGGTAAAATAACAACACAGTCTCGGCAACACAGGTAAACATAGCCACTTTGTACCTGGACCGTAATTTTCCCCCGCCCGGGGCACTTACGTAACTCGCCAAGGTGTGAAAACCAGGTGAAGGGGAGCTATAGACCAAAACAAATGCAAATAACAACTATGAAACGTCCAGTTGTGTTTTCATAACGGTCATACGTTATCACATATCACTCAGCTCTATGTGTCAGACAAAGACCAGGTAACACTCCGGTCACTCATCAAATTGTTATTTACCTGTTCTGTTACCGAGGAGCCAAACCCATTCTTGACAGTCTAACGCTTACTGTATACTGTGTTACACGCATTGTAAAATTGTACATAATCTCAGTTATAGAGATGAGAGAATTACAGTAATATATACAGTGTACATTATTGCATACAAGCCTTCCGTATTTTTTTTCATTCCGTAATATTGATCAACAAATTGTACCAAATCGCACAGTTGTGCGGAGAGAAGCGCACAACGGGGCGAACGATTGTTAAATCACACAGTTGTGCGCATCATGTGTGGATGATGTATGGACGGTGTGTGAACGATATATGCACTGTGTGCTTACAGTATTTTTGGTGCGTTGTGCGGTCACACAACTGTATCATTATGAGTAATGGGATTTTGAAATTATACTTGGAACTTGGATATGTTGTGTTCCTGATCACAATTGAATAAAAATTGTATAAAAGAGTTATGACCCAACTGAGAGCAGATAAAGAAAAAAAGAAAATAACATTTTTTTATATCTGCATCAAGACTGTCTATATTTGGTAAATGATTGAGATTTGTTATGCACATTTAGGAAACAGAAGATGGACATACAGCTAGTCCCCCTCGTGGCAAGTCTGGATATGAAAATAGTGGCTGCACCAGCTATCACTTACACACCTAAGGAGGATAGTCAGATTCCAGTAAGTAAAACTTATTTTCCAAAATTAAAAATGATTGTTAATATCAATATCACCCTGTCAAAGATTATGTTTTGGCCCGATCCCCTTCACCCTGTCAAAGATTATGTATTGGCCCCATCCCCTTCACCCTGTCAAAGATTATGTATTGACCATATCCCCTTCACCCTGTCAAAGATTATGAAATGGCCCCATCCCCTTCACCAAGTCTGAGATTATGTATTGGCCCAATCCCCTTCACCAAGTCTGAGATTATGTATTGACCCCATCCCCTTCACCCTGTCAAAGATGATGTTTTGACCCCATCCCCTTCACCCAGTCAGAGATTATGTATTGGCCCCATCCCCTTCACCCTGTCAGAGCTTATGTTTTGACCCCATCCCATGTATTGACCCTATCCCCTTAACCCTGTCAAACATTATGTATTAACCCCATCCCATTCACCATGTCAGAGATTATGAATTTGCCCCATCCCCTTCACCAAGACAAAGATTATGTATTGACCCTATCGCCTTCACCCTGTCAAAGATGATTTATTGACCCCATCCCCTTCACCCCGTCAAAGATGAGTTTTTGTCCCCATCCCCTTCACCAAGACAAAGATTATGTATTGACCATATCCGCTTCACCCTGTCAAAGATTCTGTATTGACCCTATCCCCTTAACCCTGTCAAACATTATGTATTGGCCCCATCTCCTTCACCCTGTCAGAGATTATGGTTTGACCCCATCCCCTTCACGCTGTCAAAGATTATGTTTTGGCCCCATCCCCTTCACCTTGTCAAAGATTATGTATTGACCCTATCCCCTTCACCCTGTCAAACATTATGTATTGACCCCATCCCCTTCACCCTGTCAGAGATTATGTTTTGACCCCATCCCCTTCACCAAGTCAGTTATTATGAATTGGCCCCATCCCCTTCACCAAGTCAGAGCTTATGTATTGGCCCCATCTCCTTCACCCTGTCAAAGATTATGTATTGACCCTATCCCCTTCACCCTGTCAAAGATTATGTATTGACCCCATCCCCTTCACCCTGTCAGAGATTATGTATTGGCCCCATCCCCTTCACCAAGACAAAGATTATGTATTGGCCCCATCTCCTTTGATCTGTCAAATATTATGAATTGGCCCCATCCCCTTCACCAAGACAAAGATTATGTATTGACCCTATCCCCTTCACCAGGTTAGAGATTATGTATTGACCCCATCCCCTTCACCGAGTCAGAGATTATGAATTGGCCCCATCCCCTTCACCAAGACAAAGATTATGTATTGGCCCCATCTCCTTTGATCTGTCAAATATTATGAATTGGCCCCATCCCCTTCACCAAGACAAAGATTATGTATTGACCCTATCCCCTTCACCAGGTTAGAGATTATGTATTGACCCCATCCCCTTCACCGAGTCAGAGATTATGAATTGGCCCCATCCCCTTCACCAAGACAAAGATTATGTATTGGCCCCATCTCCTTTGATCTGTCAAATATTATGAATTGGCCCCATCCCCTTCACCAAGACAAAGATTATGTATTGACCCTATCCCCTTCACCAAGTCAGTTATTATGTATTGACCCCATCCCCTTCACCCTGTCAGAGATTATGTATTAGCCCCATCCCCTTCACCAAGTCAGTTATTATGTATTGGCCCCATCCCCTTCACCAGGTTAGAGATTATGTATTGACCCCATCCCCTTCACCAAGTCAAAGATTATGTATTAACCCCATCCCATTCACCATGTCAGAGATTATGAATTGGCCCCATCCCCTTCACCAAGACAAAGATTATGTATTGGCCCCATCTCCTTTGATCTGTCAAATATTATGAATTGGCCCCATCCCATTCACCAAGACAATGATTATGTATTGACCCTATCCCCTTCACCAAGTCAGTTATTATGTATTGACTCCATCCCCTTCACACTGTCAAAGATTATGTATTGACCCTATCCCCTTCACCAAGTCAGTTATTATGTATTGACCCTATCCCCTTCACCAAGTCAGTTATTATGTATTGACCCTATCCCCTTCACCCAGTCAGAGATTATGTATTGGCCCCATCCCCTTCACCCTGTCAGTTATTATGTATTGACCCCATCCCCTTCACCAATTCAGTTATTATGTATTGGCCCTATCCCCTTCACCCTGTCAGTTATTATGTATTGGCCCCATCCCCTTCACCCAGTCAGAGATTATGTATTGACCCCATCCCCTTCACCGAGTCAGTTATTATGTATTGACCCCATCCCCTTCACCCAGTCAGTTATTATGTATTGGCCCGATCCCCTTCACCCAGTCAGAGATTATGTATTGACCCCATCCCCTTCACCGAGTCAGTTATTATGTATTGACCCCATCCCCTTCACCCAGTCAGAGATTATGTATTGACCCCATCCCCTTCACCAAGTCAGTTATTATGTATTGACCCCATCCCCTTCACCCAGTCAGAGATTATGTATTGACCCCATCCCCTTCACCAAGTCAGTTATTATGTATTGACCCCATCCCCTTCACCAAGTCAGTTATTATGTATTGACCCTATCCCCTTCACCAAGTCAGTTATTATGTATTGACCCCATCCCCTTCACCAAGTCAGTTATTATGTATTGACCCTATCCCCTTCACCAAGTCAGTTATTATGTATTGACCCCATCCCCTTCACCCAGTCAGAGATTATGTATTGACCCTATCCCCTTCACCCTGTCAGAGATTATGTATTGACCCTATCCCCTTCACCCAGTCAGAGGTTATGTATTGACCCCATCCCCTTCACCCAATCAGAGAATATGTATTGACCCATGGGCTTATTGCAGGATAAATATGGTTATATTTGTGATAATGTCCATTGCCAAGGATTATAATGTCTTTGCCTGAGGATCCTTTTATTGGAAGTCCTCATCAACATTTTATATGTAACTATATACTATTGATACTGTTTCAGATATTAGTCTGTGGTCACACAATCGAACTCAATGCTTCAAGTGACATAGACTTTTTTATCAGCACCAATCAAGTCCATCTTCTGGAATGCTGGATTAGCCAATCAAAAGTAGTGTTACTGCCACCAAAGATACAAAAACCAGATGATGAAATGGACAAGGTTGATGAGATTAAATCAGATCACATGACCTATGATAGCGGCATTGGGAGTGAGAGTTCGGCCTTAATCTTACTGAAAGGAGTTTCTCCCATTCCCTTACACCACATGGCAACCCTAGAACATGTTCAAAGTCCCAAGTTTGTGAACCCGTTTGACCTACTGTTGACAGCGGGTCGAATTTCTTGCACTGTATACACACACAAACTTCTAAAGGAGGATTATCACGCCAACAAGACTCAGGACTGCAGAGATGATGCCGACTCACCAGGAAACAAGTCCTCTCCACAGGAAGGGTCGGAGTCTGAGAGAAACAGATCTTCATATTCTTTTCTGAATATTCATGATGTGTACCGGGACACTGAAAAGGTCATAAGGTCAGGGAGCTGTGTGATCCAGCCCTTTCTGTATGTATACTTCTCCCAACCGCACACAGTTCTGAAGTGCCACCATGTGGAACAGACGTTTGAAATGTCATGCTACGATATCCTGATAAAGGGAGCTGCATCAAATCTGATTGAAGCAGGTAAATATGATGTTAAAATGGTAAAAAAACCACTCAGATTTACGGGTGGAAGGTCAAGGTTTTACCAAACGTGATTTTTTTTATTACCCCAAAACATGTTTACATATGTCCATTTCTTAACAGTTCAAGGAATTGCCTTAAATGTTCAATAGCCTAAATACCTGGAGATATTGATGAATGAAAGACCTCTATTGCTTTGTACTTCTTTTAGGCATTATTTCATGTAAATTTACTTAAGAGTAATGACATATCATAATTATTCAAAATCCTTTAAGGTTAACATATGATAAAATATATTACTGCTACCTTTAGTACCCTAACCACTTCCAGCAACAATAACCAAACACTGAAACACATTTGATCCCTTTTGCAGATGATAAGAAAATCATTCCAGACTGTTCCGATTTCCAACTTTACTGGATAGAGACAAGGGCAGGGAAACCACACCCTAAAACGGGTATACCACCTAGCCTCTACACCCTCAGGGTCAACAACTTCCTCAAGGACACAGGTAAGTTAGCAATACCCTATCACAGGTATACCTCCCAGCCTTTACACCCTCAGAGTCAACAACTTCCACAAGGACACAGGTAAGTTAGCCATGCCCTATCACAGGTATACCTCCCAGCCTCTACACCCTCAGGGTCAACAACTTCCTCACAGACATAGGTAAGTTAGCCATACCGTATCAAAGGTATACCTCCCAGCCTCTACACCCACAGGGTCAATAACTTCCTCCAGGACACAGGTAAGTTAGCCATGCCCTATCACAGGTATACCTCCCAGCCTCTACACCCACAGGGTCAACAACTTCCTCAAGGACACAGGTAAGTTAGCCATGCCCTATCACAGGTATACCTCCCAGCCTCTACACCCACAGGGTCAACAACTTCCTCAAGGACACAGGTAAGTTAGCCATACCGTATCACAGGTATACCTCCCAGCCTCTACACCCTCAGGGTCAACAACTTCCTCACAGACACAGGTAAGTTAGCCATACCATATCACAGGTATACCTCCCAGCCTCTACACCCTCAGGGTCAACAACTTCCTCAAGGACACAGGTAAGTTAGCCATACCCTATCACAGGTATACCTCCCAGCCTCTACACCCTCAGGGTCAACAACTTCCTCAAGGACACAGGTAAGTTAGCCATACCCTATCACAGGTATACCTCCCAGCCTCTACACCCTCAGGGTCAACAACTTCCTCAAGGACACAGGTAAGTTAGCCATACCCTATCACAGGTATACCTCCCAGCCTCTACACCCTCAGGGTCAACAACTTCCTCAAGGACACAGGTAAGTTAGCCATACCCTATCACAGGTATACCTACCAGCTTCTACACCCTCAGAGTCAACAACTTCCTAAAGGACACAGGTTAGTTAGCCATGCCCTATCACAGGTATAACACCTAGCCTCTCCACCCTCAGGGTCAACAACTTCCTCAAGGACACAGGTAAGTTAGCCATACCCTATCACAGGTATACCTACCAGCTTTTACACCCTCAGAGTCAACAACTTCCTCAAGGACACAGGTTAGTTAGTCATGCCCTATCACAGGTATACCTCCCAGCCTATACACCCTCAGGGTCAACAACTTCCTCACAGACACAGGTAAGTTAGCCATGCCCTATCACAGGTATACCTCCCAGCCTCTACACCCTCAGAGTCAACAACTTCCTCAAGGACACAGGTAAGTTAGCCATACCCTATCACAGGTATACCTACCAGCTTCTACACCCTCAGAGTCAACAACTTCCTAAAGGACACAGGTTAGTTAGCCATGCCCTATCACAGGTATAACACCTAGCCTCTCCACCCTCAGGGTCAACAACTTCCTCAAGGACACAGGTAAGTTAGCCATACCCTATCACAGGTATACCTACCAGCTTTTACACCCTCAGAGTCAACAACTTCCTCAAGGACACAGGTTAGTTAGTCATGCCCTATCACAGGTATACCTCCCAGCCTATACACCCTCAGGGTCAACAACTTCCTCACAGACACAGGTAAGTTAGCCATGCCCTATCACAGGTATACCTCCCAGCCTCTACACCCTCAGGGTCAACAACTTCCTCAAGGACACAGGTAAGTTAGCCATACCCTATCACAGGTATACCTCCCAGCCTCTACACCCTCAGGGTCAACAACTTCCTCAAGGACACAGGTAAGTTAGCCATACCCTATCACAGGTATACCTCCCAGCCTCTACACCCTCAGGGTCAACAACTTCCTCAAGGACACAGGTAAGTTAGCCATACCCTATCACAGGTATACCTACCAGCTTCTACACCCTCAGAGTCAACAACTTCCTAAAGGACACAGGTTAGTTAGCCATGCCCTATCACAGGTATAACACCTAGCCTCTCCACCCTCAGGGTCAACAACTTCCTCAAGGACACAGGTAAGTTAGCCATACCCTATCACAGGTATACCTACCAGCTTTTACACCCTCAGAGTCAACAACTTCCTCAAGGACACAGGTTAGTTAGTCATGCCCTATCACAGGTATACCTCCCAGCCTATACACCCTCAGGGTCAACAACTTCCTCACAGACACAGGTAAGTTAGCCATGCCCTATCACAGGTATACCTCCCAGCCTCTACACCCTCAGAGTCAACAACTTCCTCAAGGACACAGGTAAGTTAGCCATACCCTATCACAGGTATACCTACCAGCTTTTACACCCTCAGAGTCAACAACTTCCTCAAGGACACAGGTTAGTTAGCCATGCCCTATCACAGGTATACCTCCCAGCCTCTAAAACCTCAGGGTCAACAACTTCCTCACCGACACAGGTAAGTTAGCCATACCATATCACAGGTATACCTCCCAGCCTTTACACCCTCAGGGTCAGCAACTTCCTCAAGGACACAGGTAAGTTAGCCATGCCCTATCACAGGTATACCTCCCAGCCTATACACCCTCAGGGTCAACAACCTCCTCCTGGACACAGGTAAGTTAGCCATACCATACATATCACAGGTACACCTCCCAACCTCTACACCCTCAGGGTCAACAACTTCCTCAAGGACACAGGTAAGTTAGCCATACCGTATCACAGGTATACCTCCCTCAGGGTCAACAACTTCCTCAAGGACACAGGTTAGTTAGTCATGCCCTATCAAAGGTATACCTCCCAGCCTATACACCCTCAGGGTCAACAACTTCCTCACAGACACAGGTAAGTTAGCCATGCCCTATCACAGGTATACCTCCCAGCCTCTACACCCACAGGGTCAACAACTTCCTCAAGGACACAGGTTAGTTAGTCATGCCCTATCAAAGGTATACCTCCCAGCCTCTACACCCTCAGAGTCAACAACTTCCTCAAGGACACAGGTTAGTTAGTCATGCCCTATCAAAGGTATACCTCCCAGCCTATACACCCTCAAGGTCAACAACCTCCTCCTGGACACAGGTAAGTTAGCCATACCATACATATCACAGGTACACCTCCCAACCTCTACCCCCTCAGGGTCAACAACTTCCTCACAGACATAAGTAAGTTAGCCATACCCTATCACAGGTATACCTCCCAGCCTCTACACCCACAGGGTCAACAACTTCCTCAAGGACACAGGTTAGTTAGTCATGCCCTATCAAAGGTATACCTCCCAGCCTATACACCCTCAGGGTTAACAACCTCCTCCTGGACACAGGTAAGTTAGCCATGCCATACATATCACAGGTACACCTCCCAACCTCTACCCCCTCAGGGTCAACAACTCCCTCAAGGACACAGGTAAGTTAGCCATACCCTATCACAGGTATACCTACCAGCTTTTACACCCTCAGAGTCAACAACTTCCTCAAGGACACAGGTTAGTTAGTCATGCCCTATCAAAGGTATACCTCCCAGCCTATACACCCTCAGGGTTAACAACCTCCTCCTGGACACAGGTAAGTTAGCCATACCATACATATCACAGGTACCCCTCCCAACCTCTACACCCTCAGGGTCAACAACTTCCTCGAGGACACAGGTAAGTTAGCCATACTATATCACAGGTATACCTCCCAGCCTCTACACCCACAGGGTCAACAACTTCCTCAAGGACACAGGTACGTTAGCCATACTGTATCACAGGTATACCTCCTAGCCTCTACACCCTCAGAGTCAACAACTTCCTCAAGGACACAGGTAAGTTAGCCATACCGTATCACAGGTATCCCTCCCAGCCTCTACACCCACAGGGTCAACAACTTCCTCAAGGACACGGGTAAGTTAGCCATACCATAGGTATCACAGGTACCCCTCCCAGCCTCTACACCCTCAGGGTCAACAACCTCCTCCTGGACAGAGGTAAGTTAGCCATACCATACGTATCACAGGTACACCTCCCAACCTCTACACCCTCAGGGTCAACAACTTCCTCAAGGACACAGGTAAGTTAGCCATGCCCTATCACAGGTATACCTCCCAGCCTCTACCCCCTCAGGATTAACAACTTCCCCCAGGACATAGGTAAGTTAGCCATGCCCTATCACAGGTATCCCTCCCAGCCTCTACACCCTCAGAGTCAACAACTTACTCAAGGACACAGGTAAGTTAGCCATGCCCTATAACAGGTATACCTCCCAGCCTCTACACCCTCAGGGTTAACAACTTCCTCCAGGACATAGGTAAGTTAGCCATCCCCTATCACAGGTACACCCCCCAGCCTCTACACCCTCAGGATTAACACCTGCCTCCAGGACATAGGTAAGTTAGCCATGCCCTATCACAGGTATGCCTCCCAGCCTCTACACCCTCAGGATTAACAACTTCCTCACAGACACAGGTAAGTTAGCCATGCCCTATCACAGGTATCCCTCCCAGCCTCTACACCCTCAGAGTCAACACCTTCCTCAAGGACACAGGTAAGTTAGCCATACCGTATCACAGGTATACCTCCCAGCCTCTACACCCACAGGGTCAACAACTTCCTCAAGGACACGGGTAAGTTAGCCATACCGTATCACAGGTATGCCTCCCAGCCTCTACACCCACAGGGTCAACAACCTCCTCCTGGACAGAGGTAAGTTAGCCATACCATACGTATCACAGGTACACCTCCCCTCAAGGACACAGGTAAGTTAGCCATACCGTATCACAGGTATCCCTCCCAGCCTCTACACCCACAGGGTCAACAACTTCCTCAAGGACACAGGCAAGTTAGCCATACCATAGGTATCACAGGTACACCTCCCAGCCTCTACACCCTCAGGGACAACAACCTCCTCCTGGACAGAGGTAAGTTAGCCATACCATACGTATCACAGGAACACCTCCCAACCTCTACACCCTCAGGGTCAACAACTTCCTCACAGACACAGGTAAGTTAGCCATGCCGTATCACAGTTTTCCCTTCCAGCCTATACAACCTCAGAGTCAACAACTTCCTCACAGACACAGGTAAGTTAGCCATGCCCTATCACAGGTATGCCTCCCAGCCTCTACACCCTCAGGATTAACAACTTCCTCCAGGACATAGGTAAGTTAGCCATGCCCTATCACAGGTATACCTCCCAGCCTCTACACCCACAGGGTCAACAACTTCCTCAAGGACACAGGTAAGTTAGCCATGCCCTATCACAGGTATCCCTCCCAGCCTCTACACCCTCAGGGTCAACAACTTCCTCACAGACACAGGTTAGTTAGCCATACTGTATCACAGGTACACCTCCCAGCCTCTACACCCTCAGGGTCAACAACTTCCTCACAGACACAGGTAAGTTAGCCATACGTATCACAGGTATACCTCCCAGCCTCTTCACCCTCAGGGTCAACAACTTCCTCAAGGACACAGGTAAGCTAGCCATGCCCTACCACAGGTACACCTCCCAGCCTCTACACCCTCAGGCCATAGGTATCACAGGTACACCTCCCAGCCTCTACCTTCCTCAAGGACACAGGTAAGTTAGCCATGCCCTATCACAGATATACCTCCCAGCCTCTACACCCTCGGAGGCAACAACTTTCTCAAGGACACAGGTAAGCTAGACATGCCCAATCACAGGTACACCTCCCAGCCTCTACACCATCAGGGTCAACAACTTCCTCACAGACACAGGTAAGTTAGCCATACGTATCACAGGTATCCCTCCCAGCCTCTACACCCTCGGAGTCAACAACTTTCTCAAGGACACAGGTAAGCTAGCCATGCCCTATCACAGGTACACCTCCCAGCCTCTACACCCTCAGGGTCAACAACTTCCTCAAGGACACAGGTAAGTTAGCCATGCCCTATCACAGGTACACCTCCCAGCCTCCACACTCTCAGGGTCAACAACTTCCTCACAGACATAGGTAAGTTAGCCATCCCCTATCACAGGTATACCTCCCAGCCTCTACACTCTCAGGGTCAACAACTTCCTCACAGACATAGGTAAGTTAGCCATACCCTATCACAGGTATACCTCCCAGCCTCTACACCCTCAGGATTAACAACTTCCTCAAGGACACAGGTAAGTTAGCCATGCCCTATCACAGGTATACCTCCCAGCCTTTACACCCTCAGGATTAACAACTTCCTCCAGGACACAAGTAAGTTAGCCATGCCCTATCACAGGTATACCTCCCAGCCTCTACGCCCTCAGGGTCAACAACTTCCTCAAGGACACAGGTAAGTTAGCCATGCCCTATCACAGGTATACCTCCCAGCCTCT